AGCCTCTTGAATCAGCTTTGTCGTATCAGCATGGGCGTTCTGTCGCGGACGCTGCAAAAGGCGTGGCAGCAGTGGGACGCGGGCCCACGTCGTGTGCAAAAGGCCGACGCGTCGCTTTTGCCTGGGCGCCGCGCACAGCTTCCTGAGAACACGGGCATCCCGCCCGGGCGCGGCGCACATTCTTGGAGGCCTGGAATTTCGGCACCGGCACCAACGCAGGGGGCTGCCTCCACAGGGCGAAGATGGTCCTAGATTGCGGTGCTGGTGGTAATGTTTTGGTCGCCTTGGAAGCCAGCATAATACCACCATCACCGAGATCGGGATCGTCTTCCCTCGGTGCAGGCACACCGCCGATCTTGGTGTTGGTGTCAACCTCTAGGCCCGGCAACTCTGCCAACGCGCGAACGGGCAAAAATGTTGTTCCCGCCTCGGCGCCGCCAAGCATTCGCTTCAAAGCGGCTGTCCCGCCTCGACGCGGCGCAGGCGTTTCACTCGCTGGTGTTAGCAGGGCCCGCACGATTGGGCGACTTGTCGCCCTCGCCCAAACTCCAGCCGCGTGTCGTTCGGAAGCAGCGTTCCAGCGCGGGCGCGGCGCATGGTTCGTTCTCCGAGTCGCATGGAAGCGACAGCGGCAGCAGTGCCACGCGAGAGCGGGAAGAGTACCGACTTCACCGAAGCGCCGCGCACCTTTGTGGACGAAAGAAGAAATGCTGTGCCAATGCGGCGCGTACTTCTTTCCGCCTCGCCGACCGGAAAATTTGCCGTTCCCGCCCCTGCGCCGCCCGAGTGATGTTCCTGTTCGCAGGGTTGTCGGAAGCGGGTCCACGCGCGAGCGTCTTCCTGTTGCGAGGTGGGAGCGCGTTCCAATCTCAGTACGAATTCGTGCCACAAGTGGTTTTCAGATTGCGGGGGGGGCGGGGGTAGTAGGCGGGGCCCTCTGACACGCTCGACCTCGCTCACCTGACCCCACCCCCTCGACTCCTACTCTGTCTTTATTCCTTCTTAATACGTACTCCTACTCTCCACCACAGCCAGCCGATAGCTCACTGGACCCGGGATCCTACATCCCGATTTCGGAAAACCCTGCAAAGTCCACGACTTTGGTCTTAACATGGACGATGCACAAAGGGCGGCGGGAGTGAGACGGGGCGCACACCCTGCGCGGAAGGCCGAAGTGTCGCTCTCGACTCGGCGCCGCGCACAATTCCCTAAGGAATTGACCTCCCGCTTATGGGTGGCGCACTCTTTTCGCACGCAACTTCTGAAGGGGCCCTGGGACGCGCAAATGAATAGACACAAATAACAGGATTCCCCATATGTTCCCCATATTTTCTAGGTTATTGCCTTCCCCCCCACTTCCCATATTCCCGCATATTCTCCTGGGAGTCGACGATTCATTGTGTCTTCGTGTTTTTTCCCCTCTTCCCCTCCTGACCTTCGTCGATGCGCGAGCGGGCGAACTTTGGAGCTCTCGCCCCGGCGCCGTGCAGACTTCGCCGGGCAAGGGGCGCTCCCGCCTCGGCGCGGCACGCAGGTTCCGCTCGCTGCTTCGGGGGGGGGCCCGCGCGAGGGGGTTCCTTGTCGCCCTCGCCTTCTGACTACCAACCAGGCCACCACAACCCAACCCGAAGACCCGAATTTCGGGTTGGGGGGGGTACGGGTTCCATATGTGTTTTCTCAATGTTCCCCGACCCCCCCCCCCCCCCTGGAAATGGAGGGCAAATTGAGGCCTTCGGGTTGGGTTGGGGTGGTTTGGTGGGTGGTGACCTAAGCTTCGTGCGGATTTCGCTCGGAAGTGGTGTCCCGATTGGGCGCGGCGCATGGCTGGTTCGCCGAACCGCGTGAAAGCGACAGCAGCAGCGGGGCCGCGCGAGAGCAGGCGAAATGCCGACCTCGCCCAAGCCAGCGCGCAGCTTGCGAGTGAAAGTGGCAGTGCTGTGCCAACGCAGCGAACGCCTGGGCCTCGCCGCGCCCATGGAAAGCTCTGCCGTGAACGCATGGAAAATTACCCGTGCCCCCCACATGAGGAACTTCAGACCAAGTGTACGGCAATGGCCTCGCTTAAAAGGCGCCTACACTTACACACCTTCGCCACAGCTGCAAAACGTTGACATATAAAATCGCTAGTTGTGGGGGCTGGGGCCGGTTTCCCCCTGTTCATGCCGCTTCCGCCCCTGCGCGGCACGCGCACATTTCCCTTCACCAAGTCGCCGGCAGCGGGGCCGCACGCGAGCGCCTTCCGCTTGCGAGATGGGAGCGCGCTGCAATCCCAGCATCGCGCTGTGCCACACTTGGCCAGTATGTTCTGGGAGGGAGGGAGGTGGGAGCAGGCGGGGCCCTCTCACTCGCTCGACCTGGCTAACTTGTTGCCTCCGTTCCGGCTCTGCTTTACCCTAACATCCGCCACTGTGCCTCTGGCACGAAGGGCAGTGCCCCGAGGCTCACAATAGTGCTGCTGCTGCAGCCAAGATTGTGCCCACAGCTGTGCTGCTGCTGCAGCCGGCTTTGTAGTTTCTTGAGGCTAATGTCCGCCACCGTGCCTCTGGCACGAAGTAGAGTGCCCCGAGGCTCACAGCTGCGCTGCTGCTGCTGCCGCAGCCAGGACTGTGCTCACAGCTGTGCTGCTGCTGTTGCAGCCAGCATTGTAGTTTCGTAAGGGCCTGGACCACCGATTTCTCGGGCGCTCTTGGCGCTCCCCAGGTGCTCCACATGAACTCCTCGACGGCTGCAACGCCCCAAACGAACCGCAGACTTTTGCGGAGCTCCCCACCGAGCGTCCAGGACGGTCAAGGAGCGCCCCTAGACGGCCCAAGATGGCCCCCAGCGCCCCCAGACGGCCCCAAGAGGCTCCAGGAGGCCCCAAAGAGGCCTGCAAGAGGCCTCCCAAGAGGCAAACATCCCAACGAACAACCTAGAGGCTTATAACCTACAACCCAGGCAAGGTGGCGGGATGGGCCGAAGGCCATTACATACTCTACTCCTCTCTACTCCAGCAGAGGAAGCCGTGCGGATAGCAGAGGAAGCCATGCGGATCGATTGAACGAAGCAGAGGAAGCCATGCGGACAGTTTGACGGACCCTGACCTACTCTACCCTACCCTACTCTACTCTACTCTACTCTACTCCTACTCCTACTCCTACTCCTACTCCTACTCCTACTATGTTCGACTCTACTCCTGCTCTATTCTACTGCACTCTCAAGTACTCCCCTCTACTCGACTCTACTCTGGTAGACGGAGCCATGCGGACAGTATCTACTCATAATCGACTCCACTCTACGCCTACTCCACTCTACCCTACTGACTATCTCCTCTACTCGCCCTTATTCTAACAGACTAAGCCATGTGCGTAGCTTCTACTCCTACTCTATTCATCCATTTCTATCCCACTCTGCTCAACTCATACTCCTACTCCACTCTACGCTACTCTGATATACTCGCCTCTGCCCTACTGTACTATGCGTGAACAGGCGAAGCCATGCGAGTAGCAGAGTAAGCTGTGCGAATAAGTTGTACGCAGCCATGCGGATAGCAGAGGAAGCCGTGCGGATAGCTTGACGAACCCGGACTTACTATACTATTATCCTGCTCTAAAATACTATCACCGACTCTACTCCTACCCGACTCTGCTTTACTCTACTCGTACTCCATTCTACTCTAATATACTCTCCTCTACTGCAATCTAGCAGACGAAGCCATGTGGACGGTGGATGAAGCCACGCGGATAGTTCGGACGAAGCCATGCGGATAGCAGGGGAAGCCACGCGCACAGCTCGACGAACGTAGGGGGAAAATAAGGGAAACCAGTGGACCCGTTCACTTCTCCTGCAGGCGAATCTGGTTGGAGAACTGTGCGCAGAGGGGTGAGGGCCACTCCGGGGCCATCTGGGGGGTAGAGTGGAGAGTAGTTCTCCAATCAGAGCTTGGCTCTGTAGGGGTCCTAGAGGATTCCTATGGTTAGGTGAGGTACGGCGCCGATCTCGGCGGCACGCCCGGGTGCCCGGGTGCCAAGTAGCCATATAGCCCTATAGCCTTACAGCCTTAGAGCCTTATAGCCCTAATAGCCCTATAGCCCTATAGTCCTATAGCCATGTAGCCCTATAGCCATATTAGCCCCACAGCCGTGTGTAGCCCCATAGTCCTATAGCCCTATAACCCTATAGCCCTAACGCCGTATAGCCCTATAGCCGTATAGCCCTATAGCCCTATATACCTATAGCCCTATAGCCCTATACCTCCATATACCTATAGCCCTCCCTATAGCCCTATAACCCTATATCCCTATAGCCCTATAGCCCTATAGCCCTATAGCCATAATAACCCTATAGCCCTGTAGCCCTAATAGCCTTATAGCCCTACAGCCAAATAGCCCTATAGTTCTATAGCCCTATAGCCTTATAGCCTTATAGCCTATAGCCCTGTAACCCTATAGCCCTATTGCCCTATAGCCCTATAGCCCTATAGCCTTATACTCGTATAGTCGTATAGACCTATAGCCCTGTAGCCCTATAGCCCTATTGCCCCATAGCCTTATTTAGCCCTACAGTTCTATATCCCTATAGCCCTACAGCCCCATAGCCCTATAGCCCGAAGAAGATGATGATTGGGTTTTTTTTCTCTGGTGTATTCATACTGAGAAATAGAACAAGTGCAGAGCGGAAAGGAAAAGGGAACACGACCAGGCGAGGCTTGGCCAGGCTGAACTCGGCCTCGGCCGAGTTCGGCTTGGCCGAGCAAAGCTTGGCCGAGTTCAGCTGGCCGAATTCAGCCTGGCCAATTCTGTCCTGGCGTAATCTGGCTGCTGCCGAAGAGGGGGGGCGAGGAAGGGGGGGGGAGAGAGGGGGGAGGGGCGCGGAGGGTCGGCAAGGGAGGGGGCGAAATGGAAGAGGAGGAGAGAGAGGGTGAAGAGGAAGAGGGGGGGGGTGAAGGGGGAAGTGGAGGAAGAGGGAGGGGGAGGACGAAGAGGAAGGGGAAGGGGGCAGGGAGCCCGGCGGCGGCACACCGACTGGAAGAAGGAGATCTGCCCTCGGAGCAAGAGGGCGTTCAGCGTGACAACACCTCCGGCGGCCGATGCGGAAGCGATCACAGTCACCATCACCAACACCATCACCAACACTATCACCATCACCAGATCCGTCACCAGCTTCACCATCATCGTCATCATCATCATTACCATCACCATCATCATCATCATCATCACCACCACCACCACCACCATCATCATCATCATCATCATCATCATCATCATCATCATCATCATCATCATCATCTTCATCTTCATCTTCATCATCATCATCGTCATCATCGTCATCATCACCATCACCGTCACCCATTGCAATCACCAACAGCAGCATCACCATCATTCTCATTTCCATTATCAGCAGCATGTTCCTCACCATCATCATCATCATCATCATCATCATCAGCATCACAATCACCATCGTCACAACCGCAATCAATCCCACAATCACAGACGCAATCACCACCAGCACCATTACAACCACTACCATCACCATCACCCGTCGTCGCCGCCACCACCACCAACGCCGCCATCGACCGAATCATCGTAATATAATCCGGCATCAACAGCAGCAGCATCATCATCAACGTCATCACCATCGTCATCAAACATGCTCAACACTATTTTCACCAGCATCATCATCGTCAGAAGCATCATGATCATCACCATCACCATGAACATTACCATCATCGCCAAAAGTAACAGCGTCATCGATCATCAACCATGGCAATCAACGATCCGCACCATCAGCACCACCATCACCAGCATCATCATCAGCAGCAGCATCACCAGCAGCATCGATCATCAATCATAGTCATCATCGTCATCCTCCCCCGTCTTCATCATTATCATCACCCTCCCCATCACCATCACCATCATCATCATCATCATAATTATCACCCTATCATCATCATCATCATCATCATCATCATCATCATCATCATCATCATCGGCGGCGGAAGCGTCGGCGTCGGCGTCGGTGTCGGTGTCCGCGTCGTCGGCGTCAGCGTCGATGTCGGCGTCGTCCTCGTTATCGTCATCGTCATCTTTATCAGTATCGCTTTCAACACCCCATCGCTATCACCATCACTGTCACCATCGCCATCACCATCACCACAACAATCATCCTCATGATCACCCTCATCCGCATCACAATCGCAATCACAATCGTAAACACAATCGCAATTACAATCGCGATCACAGACACCACGACTATCATCAGGACCATCACCATCACTATTATGATCGCTGATCGCTGTGGGCATTGGTATCCATGTACTTTTCCTCGTTATCGTCCGCGTCCTCCTCCAACTCCTCCACCGACTCCGGCGGCTCCTTGTCCAGCTCATCCTTCTCCCCCAGTTAATCCTCCTCTCGCCCTCCTCTGCATCCTCCTCCCTCGCTCTCTCTCTCTCTCTCTCTTTCTCTCTCGCTCTCTCTCTCTGGCTCGCTCGCATCTGGACGAATAATGAAGGGGCGCTCCGCCAATAATGAGGGGATCCCCCACGTCTCTGGGGCGGGGACTGGGCTTCGGCCGTGTTAAATTGACCCAATATCGGCCGCTGTCGCATAGTGCTTTTCCAAGCACCACCGTATCCAATTGGTGCATCCTAGACATTGGCGCACATGGGTCTGCTCCTTCAACGTTGCGAATTTAATGATGTCCGCAGTCTTCTCTGGATATGCTGTCGCGCCTCCCGTGCTGCCCTTGTTGCCGAGTAGAACGGCGCTGGTCCTTAGGATTGGGGCTTTCGGCGCTCCATAAGACACGCCAGCTGTATTTGATGCGTCCAGAAATGCCTCCAGGCACTGCAGGTGGGCCAGTACATGCTTGCCTGCTTTGAGGTGTCGGATGGCCATGTCCGCTGCAAGGGCGTCATAATACTCTGCGCGGGGTACATGGCAGTCGCCCATGGCCCTGATAGCGCCTGGCTCTTCAACGATCTGGCATATTCTTTCGCCACCAACGTCCTGCTGCCGGGCAGATTCTGGGGTGGAACGCTCCGGACTGCCTGTCTGCTCTGCAGTTAGACGTCCAAGAGGCCACTCGGTGGCTCCTATACTTGTGGAACTGCACGTCGCACGTTTCACATCCTCCCAGCATCTTGGCGGAACAATTCTCCTCGGTCGCCTCCCAGCTCCTGCACTGCTTGGGTCCGCAAGGGAGTAAGCGCTCCGCACCTCCCACATTGATCCAGTCCTGTCTCGACGGCGTCGGTGTCGACGATTCCGCAGCAGAGGCACGTCCTTTCCTGGAACGCTGTGGGCATAAGAGCGGCCACTTTTCCGCCCTGCTCGATTGCCAGTTCTGACCCATTCTGCTCGTTGCTCACGAGGATCATCCCGTCGTGCCGATTTCCTTCCCAAATGCATGATGGGACTTCGGGGCCGTCCTCGAACATTACTACAGCCTCGAGCTTGTTTCGCGCAGCTTGACGCCTGCGCATCTCAGCTGCTCCCACGCCCAGTGGAGGCTTCATGGAAGTGCCGGAGTTATGCAGTATCGCGTCATTATTACCCACTGCACGATCGTGGCCCCTCCTCCTGACGGGTACCCATGCTGCTCCGCCAAGGGGAATCACCACTCCGATCACATCGAAGATAAGGTCGTCGTACTCGATGGGGTCAGCAGGAGGAGGAGAAGGAAGACAAGAAGAAGAGGGAGAGGAGGAGGAGGAGGAGGAGGAGGAGGAGGAGGAGGAGAACGAGGAGGAGGAGGAGGAGGCCGACCGCACCGATCGCGACCACGTCGGTCAGGGCCTCGCCCTCGTCCGATTCGTCTTCCGAGTTAAAGGAGTTCGGCACGATCTCCGAGCGAACCGCGTAGTAGACACCTTTGTCCGCCCGGCCGTGGCTGTACTCTTTCAGCCGCCCGACGTGCAGGCCCAGGGCCCTCAAGCAGAAGCTCGACCTGCACGGTGTCACGCCGAGCCTTTGGCATTCAACACAGCCAGTGGACATGCCCCCCAGGATGATCGGCACCCAGCCCCTCTTCTTCTGCGCCAAAACCTTGAACTTCGCTGGCACCGGCTTCTGCATCCCCGTAGTCTTGTCCTGGCAGGTTACCATCAAGATCACGGTTCCGATCAACAGGGCCGTCATCCCGCCTGCGAGTCCGCGGCACGTTTCTCGGTGACTCCAGGTCTTAAGCTTGACGACCGGGTGCTTCTCGCTGTTCAGCTTGATCCCTCTCGACTCGCAGACACTGAGGATGTCAAGCCCCGTTTCCTCCAGTACTGTATTCAAGCCCGCTCCAGAATCGCACGTGACCTCACTGCGGATCGGTCCCAGCCACATCGCGCTGTAATACTGGCAACCTGTCGCTTCATTCTTGACCAAAGCCCACCACTCGTCGGGGAGCTCCGCGAGTTTCCCGGTCGCCGTCGGCTTTCTGGGGATGGTGGACGACGACGACTTCTTCCGAAACGACAGATTCCGAGACGACATCTTCTGAAAGAACTTCTGGAAGAAACTGCCCAGAAAAAGCCCCCCAGAAAAAGTCATCCTCCTCCTCCTTTTCCTCCTCCTCCTCCTCCTCCTCCTCCTCCTCCTCCGCCTGACCTCATCCTGCTCCTCCCTCCGTCCCTCCGTCCCTCCCTCCCTCCATCGCTCCCTCCCTCCCTCCCTCCCTCCCTGCTCCTCCTCCTCCTTCTCATCCTCCTCCTCCTCCTCCTCCTCCTCCTCCTCCTCCCTCCCTCCCTCCCCCCCCTCCCCCTCCCTCCTCCCCCCTCCCTCCCTCCCTCCCTCCCTCCCTGCCTCCCTTTCCCCTCCCCTCCCTCCCTGCGCCTTCTCCTCTCCTCCTCCTCCTCCTCCTCCTCCTCATCCTCATCATCATCATCATCATCATCATCATCATCATCATCATCATCATCATCATCATCATCATCATCATCATCATCATCATCATCATCATCATCATCACCATCATCATCATCATCATCATCAGCATCATCATCATCATCACCATCATCATCATCATCATCATCAGCATCATCATCACCATCACATCATCATCATCATCATCATCACCACCACCACCATCATCATCACATCATCATCATCAGCATCATCATCATCATCATCATCATCATCAGCAGCAGCATCATCATCATCATCAGCATCATCATCATCAGCAGCAGCAGCAGCATCATCATCATCATCATCATCATCATCACATCAGCATCATCATCATCATCATCATCATCATCATCATTATCATCATCAGCATCAGCATCATCATCATCAGCAGCAGCATCATCATCAGCATCAGCATCATCATCAGCATCATCATCATCAGCAGCATCATCATCATTATCATCATCATCGCCATCAGCAGCAGCAGCAGCATCAGCATCATCATCATCATCATCATCAGCAGCATCAGCATCAGCATCATCATCATCATCAGCATCATCATCATCATCAGCAGCAGCAGCATCAGCAGCAGCATCATCATCATCACCCATCACCTATCATCAGCATCAGCAGCACCATCATCAGCAGCAGCATCATCATCATAATCATCATCAGAATCATCATCATCAGCATCATCATCATCAGCAGCATCATCATCATCAGCAGCAGCATCATCATCATCAGCATCATCATCATCAGCAGCAGCAGCATCATCATCATCAGCATCATCATTACCCATCACCTATCATCATCATTCTCTCTGGCACAAACCCTCCCCCCCTCCCCTCTGAACCGATCACCCTCTGACGCTACCCCTGAGCTCAGTTCCTCCTCAACGTTGCCCCTGGCCCGTGCAGCCTTGCCCCCCCCCGCCCCCGGGGGGGCGCGCCAGAGCCCACCCACACGATGATGAAGACGAGCGCGAACGCCAGGCCACCCTCGCGACGACGGCGGCGGTTGGCCCCGCGAGGGTGGGAGGCCCAGGAGGAGGCCCAGGCGGAGGAGGGGAGGTAGTGTCGAGTTCAAGGTTCGAGGTTTTCGGGCGTGCGAGTCGGCTCTCGGCGGCCTCCCGGCCTCGGCGTGCCTTCCAGCGGCTGCGCCTCGCCGAGAGCATTATTGGGGCTGGTGGCCCGAAAACTGAGGGACCCAGCTGAAGGAGGACGGGGGGGAGGAACAGGAGTAGACCCGAGATGCATCAGGGATGCACCCTCCCGTCCCAAGCCACCTCCGCATAAGTCACTACAGGCCCCCATTTTCACTACAAAACTCTGGCAATGTCTTGGGGCGCTCTTGGGCCGCCTTGGGGCCGTCTTCGAGGCTTCTGGGGCGGTCTTATAGCGGACACTGGGGCCTCTTGGGCCGTCGTGGAGCGTCGGGATACTGAAAAGACGAGAACTCGAAAATCCGTCAAAGACCTTTGCAAAATCAATGACTTTTGCATCCTAGGGCTCCTTGGGAGACATTTTAGAGGCCTCTTGAGGCGTCTTGGAGGCCTTTTCTAATTCTGGGGTGGTCTGGGGCCGTCATCGGTCGTGGTCGCGGTCTGGAAGCGCCTTTTCTGGCCAAGATACAAAAACCATGGATCACAAGCCGAACCTTGGATTTGATAGCACAACGAAGCGCGGCACGATCTAACAACAACTGGGAGGAGGAAAAGACATGATTAAAAGCTGTACGGAAGTCTGTCAAACTTGATAAAACTGCATGGTTGGATCAACAAATTGCTGGTGGAAATTGGGCTTCGCTTAAACGTGCATGCCGGCCAACGCCGCACAAACGAGGAAGGCTCAGAAATTTGGACAGCGAACTCGTCGACAGCACGGACAGGGCAAATACAATGGCAGAGCATTCCGAGAAGATACAATGGAAAGCGCGCCCAGCGACATCTATTGCACGTCAACCCTTGGGACCATTATTACCGATCACAGAGGACGACTTCACAGTACGCGAGGTGGGCGTGGTGATATCCAAACTACAGCAAGGAAAGGCGCCGGGGCCAGACGATATCCCAGCGGAGTACTGGAAGGCGTTGGCACATGACCCCACAGGGCTGGACACCATGACGAAGCTGATGAACCAGTGCTGGCGTGAGAAAGGTGTTCCCGAAGACTGGCGGCAGGCAGTCATTGCCACAATCTACAAGAACAAAGGCCCAGTGGATCAGTGCGACAACTATCATCCTATTAGTTTGCTTTGCGTAATGTTCAAATTACTTGCAAGCTTATTGTTGCGGAGATTGCAGCAAGCAGAGGCGGAGGATAGACTGAGCGGGACACAGTATGGATTCAGACGGAGGAAAAGCACCACTGACGCCGTCCGTGCAGCCCGCCGCCACATCGAACCAGCACATGCCGCTCGAGATGGTGTGGCCCTACTGGCGCTAGATTGGAAAAAGGCTTTCGACTCTATCAACGTGGGGGCCCTTCTCGAAGCACTTGCTGCATTTGGTGTGCCCCCGCACATGCTTGAAATTATTGGAAATCTCTACGGCTCCCGTCGCTTTTGCGTGGCAGGCGGGCCCCGGAGGTCAGAAGAACGGGGACAGCTATCAGGTATCTCACAAGGTTGCCCACTCTCGCCGTTTCTGTTTTGTGATGGTTATGACAGTGCTCGTCAAAGACGCGGAGACGTACCTGCAGGACGACGTGGCCCAATCACTGTTGTCCAGAAGCCTCTCGGTACTTTTATACGCAGACGACACAATTTTAGTCGGGCGCAACGAGCGGCATCTGCAACAACGCGAACATGGGCATGGAGCTGCATTGGGATAAATTTCAGTTGTTGCACATAAAGATTTGCGTATTACAAATCCTTCCGGCAAGCTCATTACTCCCACCACGCAGATGAAGCACTTGGGGGCGACATTGCACGACAGTGGAAATATATAAAGGAGGAGTTGGGCAGGAGGTTGGGTGCCGCATGGGGGGGATTCCAAAGGTATACGCAGGCGTGGAAGCATACATCAATCAGTCTGAAGCGTAAATTGGAAGTGTTTGCAGCTCTCATCACAACTAAAGGAATGTACTCGCTGAGCAGTGCCTGGTTGAACAAAGCCGACAGACGCAGGCTGGATGGTTTCCAAGCCTGGTATCTTCGTTCAATTTTGGGCATCAAATACCCGTATATTTCAAGAGCTTCAAACAAAACCATATTGGACAGATCTGGCCAAACACCGTACACATCACAGTTATTGGTCAACCAATTGGTGTGATTCGGAAAAGCATGTCGCAGCAGCGAGGCTGATGCACTGAGGCAGCTCACTTTCATGCCTAACAGCACCCGCCCGGCAACAAGCAAAGTCAAACGGTCTGTGGGGAGGCCGCGAAATGAATGGGCAAAGTGCTTATACGACAAGGTGAAGATCTGCTTCCCATCAGAACAACACCTACTCGAAGCCATCATGGACGAACAAGCTTGGACAACATTTACATCAACGTATACGGACTCATGCCCGTGAGCCCCGTCAGGCCGCTTTTTGCCTTCTCTTTGCATGCATGTTTGCTTTCTGTCTCCTCTTCTCCTCCTCCTCCTCCTCCTCCTCCTCCTCCTCGTCCTCGTCCTCCTCCTCCTCTCCCTTACAGTACTGGCTGTGCTGTGCTTGTTTTCCCGCCCACGCGCCGGACGGCGTATGGCTTGTGTGTGTGGGGGGGGGGACGTCTTCGGGCGATCTTAGAAAGCACCCGGCGCCCCTGCAGAGCCCCCGCGGCACCCAGGCCCCCCATGCGAGGTCGAGACCCGGGCACTGGGCCCCCGGGCCTCGTGCCGAGGCATATATATATATATACATACATACATACATCTAAATACATATATATATATATATATATATATCTACACATACATACATACATACATACATACATACATACAGATGCACATGCAGGCATTTAAACATATGCACTCACACACACATATATATATGTGTGTGCGCAGACATTCACACATACATACAGACGTTCATACATACATATACACATGCACCTACATATGTAAACAATGCACAAAATACATGCATATACATATATATATATACATATACATATGAACAGAATGCCATGCACACACATGCATACATACATAAATACATACATACAAATATACATACAGGCATGCATACATACAGTAGTGCATATATGCACAAATGTTCATACATACATACATACATGCATACATCCATACATACATCATGCATACATGCATGCATACATACGTACATACGTACGTACGTACACACATACATACATACATACATACATACATGCATACATACATACATACATACACACACATACATACATACATGCATGCATAAATACATACATACATACATACATGCATACATATATGCGTATATATGTATACACACATCAAAACAAATATCCGCCGGCCCCCTTGCGAGGCCATCAGGCTGCGAAGGTTAGGCGTGCAGCTCCCTGTAACAGTTACAGTTTCCAGTTTCCACTGTGACAATCCTGGTCCCTGCTTTCTTGTTGTAAATTGTTGCTGAACGCGCGAGGGGGGGGAGCCGAAACGCGTCCTGGTTAGCGTCCCAAGATCGCGTTGTCTGAATTCCCGGGAATTGGGACACGTAAAAATAACTAATATTCGCGTCCCCGAGGCCATAATCCCTAATAGATTACACCACATTCGCGTACCCGAGGCCATAAACCTTCCTAAATTGAGCAATATTAGAATCCCCGAAGCCAACCCTTTGTAACTTACACAATCTTCGTGTCCCCGAAGCCATAAACCATTGTCAATTACACGATATTCGCGCCCACGAAGCCATAAACCTTTTGGTAAATTATTAATTACTCGCGCCCCCGAAACCAGTAACCCTCCAAAAGTAGTCCATGTTCGCGCCCCCGGGGCCATAAACCCTGTAAATTACACCGTACTTGCGTCCCCGGGGCCACAAACCCTCGCAACTTATACCATATTCGCGTCCCCGAGGCCATAAACCCTTGTAAATTACGCAATGCTTTCTTCCCGAGGCCATAAACACTTATAATTTATGCAGTAGTTGCGTCCCCGAGGACAGAAACCTTCATAAATTATACAATACTCGCGTCCCAGAAGCCATAAGCCATTAACTGACTTCAGATTCGCGCCACCGAAGCCATAAACCTTCGAAAATTAATATTGGACCTCGCGTGAAGTCCCGACATTGCTTCACGTCAGCGTCCAGGCATCCCAACACAGCTGTGGCAAGTCCCTTTCTGAGAGAGGGGGGCCAACGGCATGGGGGCGAAGCCCTTTCGGATTATGCATAGATACTGCTGATATGCATATATGTCGAGATCTAGGTCTAGGTCTAGGTCTGGGTCCAGATCTAAGTCTATGAATAGGTTTCGGCATAAGTATAAGTATAGTTATGGTACAGGTATGGGTACAGGTATCGGTATATATGTACGTACAAGTATAGGTATGAGTGAAGGTGAAGGTATAGGTACAAGTATACACATAGGTACAGACATCTGTGTAGCAAAATGCTTAAAATATAGGTATGGTACAGCTACAGGTACCGATATAGGTACAGGTATAGGTATAGGTCCAAGCATAAGTACGGGTACAGGTGTAGGTGCAGGTACACAAGTAAGTATGAGTATAAGTATCGGTACAGCTGCAGGTACAGGTGCAGGTGCAGGTATAGGTACAGGACGAGGAATAGGTATAGATACAGGTACAGGTCTAAGAATAGGTATCGTTGTCTGTATAGGTATGAGTATAGGTATGCGTAAAGATGAATGTTTATGTATATGTACTGAAGGTACACGTGTACGTACAGGTATATGTAAATTCGTGTCCACATACCTATACAGGTGTGTATACATGCATATATATATATCAAAATATATAGACATATTACATATATATATACACCTATATATATATATGTATCTGCCAGCGTTGACTCCAAATATATAAGAGGACAGGAGGAGGACGAGAGAAGGATGGGAGGAGGACGACAGGAGGACGGGAGAGGAGGACGGGAGGAGCAAAATCAAGCAAGCGCAAGCAAGCAAACAGAAGCAAGCAAGCGCAAGAGAGCAATAACACGCAAGCAAGAGCCAGCGATCAAGTGCAAGCAAGCAAGCAAGCAAGGGCAAGCAAAAGCAAGCAAGCGAGAGCAAGCACGCAAGAGCAAGCAAGCAAGCGCCATTGGAAAAAGGGGGGGGCATTTGAAAAAGGGGGGGGGGCATTGGAAAAAGGGGGGGGCTAAGGACCACTTTATGATGAGCTAGGACTTCTATAGGGCAAGCCGATTTGGAAAATTTGGAGTTAGGGGGAGGCATGGGCATAGGCATAGCAATAGGAATTGCGGGGGGGGCATAGGAATTAGGGGGGGCAACGGACCAAGTAGTAGGGTTTGAGTGGAAACCCCGATCGAGCAACCCTATGTGGATAGTACCAATCTGCATTTTTTCCCTTAGAACTTAAAGGCCATATACATACATGTAAACATACGATGAACATTTATGTATGTGTGTATATGAATATGTGTGTGCACCCGTATGGATTACAGCACGTATGCGCATGTAATTATATATGCATACATGCATGCCTACATATACGTATACATATATATATACACCAGGTAAGTAGGTATAGCTGAATATATCATACATGTATATCTGTATATATACACACAAGTACATATATGGTATGCTTATGTATACGCATACAGCTACATAAAAAAAGGATGCGGTAGTGTATATAGCTGTATATACATATATATATATATACAAATGTAAAGATATGTGTGCATCTATATCTGGACATACACATGTAGCTATATGAAGAGAGAGATACACACATATATAGAGAGAGAAAGGTAACGATACACACATACAGAGATACGCATAGATGACCATATATATATGTATATATACACATATATATATATAGAAATGTCGGGCGACGCGGTCTTTCCAGCGCGCCTTGGAGCGCTCTTAGAGCGTTCCGAGACGCTTTGGAATGATGCACCCTGGTCCTGGCCCCGCCCGATTGCACTCGGTGGAAACCCGGCGGTCGGAGGAGCCCCCATCGGGCCGCTGGCACGAATCCTGCCCGCCTGGTCCTTCTGCTCCTGCCAGGACAGCAGGATGCCCAGCGCCAGGCACAGTATGAGGGGGCCCCACAGGTCCCACCTGGCGGCGGGGCGGACAGCGGCCTGCCAATGGGGGCAGGAGGAAGGCCAGGAGGGAGGAGGACTGCGTTCGCCCAGAAGGGGGCCCCAGGGCTCCCTCCCTCCCTCCCTCCCTCCCTCCCTCCCTCCCCCCCTCCCTCCTTCCCCCTCCCTCCCCTGCCCCCAGGACCAGATTTTCATCCGGAGTCGTTTACTGATGGTCTCGGGCCCGCGGAGGGCCCCGAGAGCCCGAAGAGGCGAAAAGCCTCAGGACCCGTTGCCCCCAGGAACCGTGAGGGAAGAAAGAGGCGTTCCGTCCTCGGCTGCTCGTCGACGAGGGGGGGGGGGGCAGTGAGCGTGGGGCAAAGAAACGTGCGCCTCTGGTGCACCCTCCGGGTTCGCGGTGGTTCCTGTGGGCCCCCCAGGGCCCCTCCAAGGCCGCTCTCCTGCAGTCCTGGACCCTCCCACGTGCACTGCCCCCCTTGATGGGGCAACGTGAGGGGGGCACGGGCTCCAAGGTGGAACATCGACGTGGAATCGGCGACGCATCGCCGCTGGATCGGCGACAGGCCCCCGATAGCAAGTAAATATGGTCATGGGCGGGCTGCAGGCGAGCTACACTTCATCCATGCCCTGCCCACGCCCCGACCCCACGAGGGGTCAGAGAGGCGGCATGGATAAAATTCTGACCTCGGAGCCACTCTGTCAACTAATGTTAAGTCGGGTCTGTCCCTCTACCGGGGAATTTCGGAGGAAAAACCACAAAAATACCCTTAAAATGCTCAAAAATACTCAAAAAATAGTCCCCAGACTATTTTTGGCCTATTTTTGAACATTCCCCCTCTAGAGGGACAGGCCCGACTTAAAACTAATGCCCTGCTTCCCCAGGCGCCCACAGTATGGACTGAGCGTCGATCGTCGAGGATGGGCCAGCGGGTCCACGTCGGCGATAGATGAGCTAGGGTTATAGCGGGGGAGGAGGAGGAGGAGGAGGAGGAGGAGGAGGAGGAGGAGGAGGAAGAGGAGGAGGAGGAGGAGGAGGAGGAGGAGGAGGAGGGGCCATAACGTAGCGCCCCCCCCCGTGACTGTGGTGCCAGACACACTGCGGCAGTGCCAGGGACGCACTGAGGGGGGAGCGTTACGCCAAGGGGGGGAGGAGGGGGGGATGTAAAAAAAACACTCTCCTTGGGGGGAGATGGCCACGTTCGGAGAACTCAGAGGCCAAGAGAGAGTCTCGTCGCTGAGTCCTTCTTCCTAAACTCGATGCGGGAGCATGCCTCTCTGGAGAAGCACGTCAGCCACAGTTTCACCCCTCCAGCGCTGCCTGGGGGTGAGACGGCGATCCCTTGAACGTCCACTGAACCATGGATCACGAGGTACGGAAGGACAAGAGGAGGTTGCATTTGAGACACGTTTTTCCCTCATCGACGGGGGAGAGACCCCGCGAAGCCCCGCGAACGTCCCGCGCGCCCACCGTTGAGCAGGGACCGACCGTCCCGGCATTCCTATAGGCCTACCACGAAATGTTCTTAGAACCCCAAAAAAATATTCTAAGAACAGAGAAATGTTCTTAGACCATAAACCCGGCGTGTCAAAACAAGACAGCCCCGGCCAGAAATGCCCTAAGAACAAGTCGTGGAAACCACAATCGGTTCCTGAGAACACTGCTGGCACGGCTTGGTAGGCCTACAGGCACGCCAGCACGCTTCGTCGCTGGCCGTGGCGACGCGTGGCTCCTTCGGCACCTTCTGCGCTGCCGCGCTCCGCGGCTCGCGCCCCGCCCCCAACCGGCGCGCGGGCGGGCGGCGGTGTCTCGGGCACGGGCCCGCGAGTGGCCCCGGCCTCGGCCTGCTCCCTCCCCTGGCCCTTAGGGGGCCCCATGCGAACCCTACCCCTACCCCCCACGATTTCGGAGGGGGAGGGTGGGGTTCACTTCGCTCGGGAGCTCCCAAACGAAGTGAACCCCACCCTCCCCCTCCGAAATCGTGGGGGGTAGGGGTAGGGTTCGCATGGGGCCCCCTAGCCCTGCTGCGTGGCTGCGGTTGCGGCTGGCCTGGCGGCTCCGGCGGGGGGTCCGGGGGCGCGCGGATGATGGATCGGCGGCGGGCCCAGGGGGGAGCGAGAAAGGGCGGGCCTTCTCAGAAGGCTCGGACATCCCCCGGCCTTCTGGAACGTCGGGACTCCCAGGATCCCACCAGCCCTCTGGGCGTGAGTGGTTTAGCGAGTTTCCCCCTCCAGCTGCCTCCCCCCCCTTCTCCCCCTCCTTCATCCCCCGCCTCCCTCCCTCCTGTTGCATGTAGCCGCCGTCCAGGGTCGAGGCTTTGGGTGCAGTGCCCGCGGTACCAGGTACCGCCGCGCGCTGCGAGCCTCGCCCGCGACCAGCTGCCATACGCGCCGGCCGCCGTGTCCGCCTGGCGCGCTGCGAGCCAGCCGTGCCGCGGGCTCTCGCGAGGGCGCCACGCCTCGCGGGCGCCGAGGCGGACGCCCCAACCCAGCCTGGCACCGCCGTGCCCGCTGGCTGCGTGGACAGGCGAGGACGCTCCTCCGCGTCGCTCGCGCCCGCGCGAGGCTTGCGCTGCCAGAGCAGCGCCGCGTGCAGGACGCCGCCGACCGCCTCGCCGTGCACCACAGCACGGGCATCATGTACGGAGTTGACGGAGGCAGGGGCGGCGCTGGCGGCGGCAAGGGCTCTGGCGGCGGCAAGGGCGCGGGCCCATCTGGCGGGCGCGCCGGCGCTGGAGGCAAAGGGCGAGCCTCGGGCTCGGGCGGAGTGACGCCGCCATGGCATGTCCCACCCCCGCCGCCTGGATGGTGGTGCCCAGCGTGCGGCGAGCTCAACTCGCCCGCCGACCTCCTGTGCCGGACGTGCTGCCCGCTCCCAGCGCATGGGCCCAGGCATGGAGCAGGTGCTGGCGCGGGCGGCGCAGGCGCTGGCGACGGTCGGCCTCCACGCCATAGGCGAACGGAGGCTGGCACGAGCCACGGTCGTCAGCGATCTGGCTCTCGCCGCCGCCGTCGCCGCCAGCCCAGTGCGACGCGTCCGAGGTCGGCCTCTCATGTGAGATTCGAGGATGAGCCAGAGCCTGAGGCCGCTGGAGGACGGAGGAGAGGAGAAGCGACCGACAACTCCGAGACTGAGGACGAGGTCCGCAGCCCGGCGCTGGGCATCCTGCCCGCGCTGCCGCAGGCCGCTCAGGCGCATGCGTCCTGGGTTGAGCCGCCCAGGGACGAGCGCGAGCTGGCTGCCCATCGGCGCTCGCTCCGCCAGATGGCAGCTGCCACTGGCAACAGGCTGCTCGCCGCCCGCAACCTCGGCATGACCGACGAGCAGAGGCGGCCACAGGAGGAGGAGTATGCAGTGCAGCTCTGCATGATACTGATGACGCGATCGCCTGGAGTAAGGTGTGATCGCCAGCGAGCCTTTGTGCAGCGAGCTCAACGTAAGCTCGACAAGGCGCAGTCCGAGGCTGAGCAGGCCAAGAAGGTCATGGAGGAGAAGGAGGCGAAGGTGCAGCAGCGGGAGGAGGCCCTCAGCATGGCCAAGTTGCTGTTGGAGCAGCTCGAGGAGCTCGTGCCGTCGGCGGGCCATGCCACAGACGACGTCGCCGAGGAGGACGAGCTCATGCCGCCCGCGGGCCCGACGCCGCCCGCTGGCTCCCCAGCTCCAGGTACGCCGCCGCACCCGGCCCCGCCCGCGGCGGCCATCGCGGAGTTGCAGGCCGGGCAGGCGCAGCTCACGCGACAACTGGTCGGCCTCACGCAGCTGCTGACGACGATGCAGGGCCAGATGTCCGCGGCGCGATCAGAGGCAGCGGCGGCCCCAGCCTCGCCTGGGCCTGCCGCATTCGCGGGCCAGCCGCAGCGGCTCGGGCCCGCTGGAGGTGCTGCACAAGCGCCTGGAGCTGCCGCGGCGCCCGTGGCGCCCGCAGCCCCCGAGCAGGCGCCTGTGGCCCCAGTGGCGGCCTCGCCTGGCGATGCCGAGGCGCCGCCACGGGCGCGCGCAGGCCCCGCCGCCGCGCCGCCTGTTGCCGCGGCTGCCGCCGCCGCAGCGCCCGAGGTGACCAGCGACGGCCAGGCGGGGTCGCCAGCAGCAGGAGGAGGCAGGCCGACGCCCGCGCCGCACCCGACGCCTGAGGAGCTGAGGGCCCGTGCGGCGGCGGCTCGACAGGCCAAGCGTGATGCTGACCGAGCTCGCAGGCCCACGGGTCAGCAGGGCTTGCGTGATGCCATTGCGCGTCAAGACACGGCGAGGCATCGTGGAAGTGCAGCAGTCCCGCCTGTGCCTGCTGGACGGGAAGAGATCGCAGCCGAAGCAGGGGAGACGGAGGCGGCCGACGCTGCGGCTCGCCGACAGCGGCACAGCCGCAGCCACAGCCCGCGCCGCGGCGCTGACGGTGAGTTCGTGGTCGTCGGCAGTGACGGCAACTCCGATGCGTCGACGCTGGGGTGATGCGGCCTGCCGGGCAGGCCATGGGGAGTGAGATGCATGAGCCGACTCTGCCATCTCACGGTCTGCCCGAGGCTGGCAGCGTGCCCGCCACGACGCCCGCTCCGCAGCCTCGGATGGAGTCTGAGCTGTCCCAGCAGTTGTGCCCAATATCCGATTGCAGCGGACTGGCACCTTTGTCGGCCCTGGCACGCTAGCGTTGCGTCTCTCACCCCTGTCTTCCTAGGCTCATCTCAAGAGCCCGAGAATTCTTTATTTCACCAATATTTACACAGTAGCACGCGTCAGTTTTTTGAAACCCACGGAGCTCCGCCCCCCCATTCAAAGGATCAGGTGACCAGGTTGGAAATTTACACTGATGGATCCGGAAGGTCTAAACAACGACTGCTGGGTGGACCGCGGTCTTGGGCTTGGTGTATATTTTCAGTTGCGACATCGGGGCGATATATACGTATATATGAGGGGTATCTATGTGGGATCGATCCGTCTCTCTCCGACTCTGTGAAGAGCCCGTCGGGCGCAGCTGAACTTCAAGCCGCACTTTGGTTGGTGCTATGGCTATTGCAAGCCGAACA